ATGAGGTCAAGGGCAGCCTTCACTAAAATGTATTACCAAGTTTTCGTGAAAAGAACATGAGGCTAACACAATGTGCCTACCTGAGCTGCATCAGAAATCAAAAGCAGCACTAGATCGCTTCCGGAGATAGTTTCATACAAGTCTCCCAAGGTACCATTTTCTTCAGTAAACCCAGCTGCACGAGCCTCAGCAAAGGAGCGAGAACCCTTTCTCAAACCAATCTACATGACCAAAATTCATACCTCATAAGTTGCAAGACTAAGAATTTAATCTTGTATGCAAACAAGATAAACTTCAGCTTCAATCTCTAATAAAGAAGAAATGAAATATTACCTTAACGACTATATCAGAATTTGCTTCTGCAAGAGAATCCCTCAAGTTCTGGGCTTGAGCTGGTCCCTACCAAAAAAGAAGGGTTACTTTTACAGAAAGTTGTGCAATTTTTAACCAAAATAATTCAATGTTGATTATTACTATATTTGCATGAGATCACTTTAAAACAGTATTAAGATATATTTTGATAATACCTTCTGTGTTAATGATGAAAAATAACAACATAACCAATTATTAACAGAAGTAGAGTATGGGAAAAAAACAAACTTTGAATGGAGGAAGATATATCTTCTCGAGAAAACTACACTAGAGAAACTTCATCAGCAACTATGCTAGAATTAGTATGAAGAGAAAATACTTGGTGAGAACATATATGGTTTTAGAGAAGTCAACGAAAAGAGTAGTTTGAAGCTGCTTTCATCAGGTACATCCAAAAAGATGTAGCTTTCCAGCAAAAATAGTAAAACAGAGGACTTCTATGTTATAGAATCTAAAAAAGATACCTTCTTCTCTTCTCCTTTCAATTTCAAAAAAAGATATATCTTCTCCAAAATTTTGATTAACTAAACTCTAAGTTTCAGATGGAAATATTCCCTCTTCATTGAGCTACACAACAAACTTCCTCTTTGCATTAACTTCATTTTCCAATAACTCTCAGAATGGAACATTATACAGATATCAAAATTGAATTAACTGAATAAAACCAAAACCAAAACCAAAGAAACTTCACCTGAGAACCCCAGCCAATGACTCCAATCTGCTTGATTCCCTTGAATGCATCCGGCAACAACTTGAACAAATCTCTCCCTCCTTTCACAATGTACTACACCACAATTCCAACAATATACATTACACATCAAAGCCGAGAACTTTCACATATAGAAATAAACATTTTCACCATTGATACACCAACAAGAAAGACAATACCATTACTCTCTCCGTCAAAAGATTGTGTTTTATGGTACTTCTACTGAGTTTTCTAAAATGTCTAATGCTTAAAGGTGTTTGTTTGAAATTTTTGCTGATTCTTTTTTGAGAAAAAAACCACAGTATCTTTTTGAGAAGTAACTTCACACTAAAAACTCAGAAATCTTTTTAATGAACAACTCTGACTATCCAAAAACACATTTCCTTTTTGGACAGATTATTCCTTATTCTTAAAGATTTTTGGGGAAAAAGGACAACTTGTTCAAACCTCCTTACATATTATTCCACAAAACAATAAGAAGTGATCTACATTTAGAAACAGACATCCAGCTACTCAAAATCAAATGGAAAAAAAATTACACTCTTTCTTAAGTTATATAAAAAGAAAGAGCGAAGTATCAAAAACACACCTAAAGTATTTCGATTTTCCAAATTTCATGCCTGAACTATTATTAGGCATGCTAGTTTCCCACCAACTATATATCAAAAAACCCCTCAATTATCATTTTTCCCTTCGCCTATGTTGATATTTGAGCTTAGAAAATGGAACAATAATTTGATAGTTGAGGTGTGTTTAGATTTACGGTTGGTGATAGTACTGATAGGAAACTCGCATAACTAATAGTTATCAAGTACTCCCTCCGTCTACTTCTATTTGTCCCGTTGGACTTTTCGAAAGTCAGACTAATTTTCAAAGTTAATTTAAATAACATTAATTTAATATTTTAGACAAGAACTATACTATAAGTACTATAAATTGCAATTTTTTGCATATCAATATGAATTGGTAAATTTATGTTAGTCAACTATGATGATTATAAGTGTATATATGAAGCTAGAATAACTGTCACACTTAACCAGTTTTCAAGTATATAAATATTACATCTAATCTTACACCGAAAATTAGATGTCACCATACTCTAACTACATCATTCTTTCTAAAACCGAGTTAATAAGTGAAATAAACGTAAGAAGGGAAGAGATTCACCTCGTCGTGTCCAGAAAGGGTAACTTTCTCCTTCTTAAAAACAGACGTTTCAAAATCGAGAGACATCGGTGCCTTCACAGCAGCAGGAGCAGCAACCATACGAACACTAAGTGGTCCGCCGGAGCTAGACACATTGTAGGAGTAAGATTTAGCTCTGAGAGCCTTAAGCGACAGAGAAGAAGTAGAAAGGAACCCTAAGTTACTGGAAAGAGCACGCTTCAATGATTTGCTTGAGGAAGAAACGGCCGAGGAAGAGGAGGTGGAAATGGCGAAAGAAGTAGTCGCCGGTGTCGCCATTGTTGCTCTGTTGAGGTGCCGCCGATGACTGTGAAAAGTGTAGAGAGAGAAAGTGGAAATGAGGGTCACGTTTTTATGTTTGGATCAGTATTGCTAGGGTAACGATATGCAGCATATCCGAATTGAGAAGTGGCGACATGAAACTGTGATTCTTAATGCCCCTCACATTTTAGGGGTCGTTTAGTTGTTTAACATACTATATATTTTTTAAATATAAAAATTAATCACAAATTATAATGATTTACAAAACAAATTAATCGGAATGATTGCAACGAGACATATCAATACCATTTTGAACTACGAGCCTCACCCTGTTTCAATTAGATTTGTTCCTATGGGCCCGTTTGGCCATAAATTTTGTAACTAAAACTTGGAAAAAAATTTGGCAAATTTTATTTGTCCATATACTTTTTTATTTTTTGGTAAATTTTCCAAATTCCCAAATACTAGAAAAAACTAGTATTTCGGCCAAATTTCATTATTTGGAAAGTTTTAGAAATTCAATTTTTACTCTTAACTTTTTATTTTACAAAAATAATATATTTATTGACACCAACCAATTCAATTAGCTCCCTTCTACATGCATTCTTTTGATTTCATACATTCCTTTATTACAGTTAGTCTTAATGAACTAGCTACTAAATAAAACATGAATTACATTTATTTTATTTTGGTACATAAATATTACGTTGTTGATGCTGGTCTACGGAACACAAGAGGATTTTTAGCTCCATTCATTGGAATGCGCTATCATTTGCAGGACTGCCGAGGAAGTGAAAGAGAGTCTAAGAATGGAAAAGAGTTATTTAACTATAAACATACTTCTCTGCGCAATGTAATTGAAAGAACTTTTGGTGCATGGAAAAGTAGATTAAGAATACTAAGACAAGGCATGAACAACTATGAATGTGACATGCAAGTGAAAATAGTAATTGCTTGCGCTGTATTGCATAATTTTTTATGTGAACACCAAAGTAGTGATGGAATATTCAATGAAAATGATGATATGGTTGTTGATGAAAGTGACGAACTACTGGCTCAGGGTAACAACAGGGCTTCATCTTCTCGATCGTCTGATTCGAAAATGTAAGCTCATCGAGAAGAGATTGTTCATAAAATGTGGGAAGATTATATTAAAGAATAGGTTGAACTCTTTTAGATGAGAAAACATATGTTCTTCAGTGATTGCAATATTTATTTTCTTTTGTTTTCCTCTCCTTTTTCCCCCGAATTTATATTAGTTGTATTTTCATTATCATGATTGTACCAAGACCTTCTCACTATACGAATATTTACTGTAATGATTCTTGTTGATTTGTTGTGGAAGTCATAAGTCTTGTTACGTGAGATTTCTATTGTGCTATGTAATACAAATTTATGGTTAGTTTGATAGTTTTAAAAACTTATGGGTATAAATCATATTTCTTAAAAAAATGAAATATGTTTCTCAAATTCTATGGCCAAACACATGGCAAAATTTCACCCAAATTTTCATCCAAATAATATTTGCCAAAAATATTTGAATATCTATGGCCAAACGCTAGCTAAGAGTACTTTAAAAAAAAGAATTTGAAATGTCAATAGTAGCATAGTATTTATAAAAAATAAGACTTACAATTTTATATTTATATAATTTTTTGTAAGAATATCAGAGAAGTGATTAAATATTCATCGAATATTATTATAGTATTATAATTTTTTTAATTACATATTAATTAAATATATAAGAACAATAAACAAATATTAAAAAATATTTAATAACATAATTTAAATTAAAATTTTTATTATTTCCTGTGTAATCATATTCATGATATAAATTTAAAAATAATATAATTTATCTCTTACAAATGGTAAAACATCAATAAAAATAAACAAATATATAATATATGTAAAAGGATTCGAAAATCCATACTACACTTTTAATAAAAAAAAATTCAACTATTTAGTTAGTATATATGCAATAAAGGAAAAATTACTAGTGATATTGACCCATTTCAATATTGACCAATTTCAATTTTATTAAATAGCCATACAATGATATTACTTTTTTTTCTTAATTAGCAAAATCTAATCTCAAACTTGATTAGTTTTTTTTCTTGTTTTATAATCTTTCATCATTAAAATAGAAAATATTTTACTTTCATTTCTTGCAAATATATATTACACGAAGGAATGAATAATGCAGAGTTTTCTGGACACGTGTCGAAGACCCACATACCCAAAAAAAAACAGGTGAACTCTCTCTTTACGTTTTTCGTTTTCCAACTCAAACAAAATTCACCAAAACTCTTACTTTTCTCTTTATCTTACTTTATGCTGTGCTTTTTATTTGCATTAAAAGTTGTAATTTTGGAATTCTGCTGATAAAAATTTACCCGTGACTTGCAATTTTTGCTTCTGGGTATTCTTTTTTTGTTCTGTAAGTTGTTCTGTTTTAACTCTAGTAGTAAAAAAAATTGAATATTGTAATTGATTGGTAGTTTTATAGTATGATTGAGGTATAATTGTTATTTTCCTTTGTGGGTATTGTTTCTTGATCATGGTGGTTATGATTTTCTAACGTTTACCTAGGGCAAAAGATAAGTTTTTTTCCCTAAATAGCTGCTGTTTACTTTTGTGGGGTTTGCTTCTTGATCATGATGCTGATGATTTTTACTTGTTTTTTGAATAATTCATGTGTTTATTGTGTACATAAGAGTTTTAGTGGTGGGTTTTATACTTTTTGTTTGATAATCGTGGTGTCTGGGTTAGCTTGTGTGTGCCTCAACTAGACTAATTTCACTGAATACCCCACCAAGGCTAAACAATATGGTAAGAAAGCTCCTTGTATGTTTTTTCTGGGACTTGAAGGATTCATTGACTAGGCTACACCCTTGGGTGTTGGGTTTTATACTTTTAATATTTTGTGCTTTATTTTTTTAATAGAATGTATAGAGATATCTTCTGTATGTGAAATTATAGGGATTTAGTATGAAGGTAAAGTAGCTTGCTTTCTTTGATGAATTATTTCATGGTTTTGGAATGCTTTTGTTGGAAATTTGGTATGAGTTTTAGTTTGGGTAATAAGGAAGCTCTTAAAACCCTTTGTTTGATTTTTGCTGTCCAAAAGGGCTTTGGAATCTTTATAGCTTCTGATATTCCATCGTGTCCATTTGTAGACCAAAAATTCATCTAAAATACATGAAATAGATGTTACAAAAAAGTTATACCTATCCAAGTCTTTTAAGAAGTTCTGAGTTTTGTAAGGCGAAGTCATTAGAAAGGTACTCTATTAAGGAACCCCTAGGATGCACTTTTCTGCTATCATGATCTCATATAAAAAGTTCCATCCTTGTCTTCTATGCAATTGTCTAAATAATCTATTTTTCTAACGGACTTGTGAAATGATGGCTGAAGGATTCTGACTGTTGGAAACTGGGGAGGGGTAACTGGTGAGCATATAAAAATGACTTCTTTTTGTTAAAGGTAGAAGATTTCAGCCTTATTTATGTACTTCTGTTTGATTAGTTCGATGTCTATAAAGATGGTAGTAGTTGGGATTATCCTACTATAAGAACGCTTATCCTATCTCCATCACCACAGAAATAAAAGAAATGTTACAAGTAGATGAAGCTTGTGCTATTTGTACGCTAATTTAAAGCATTTGATTTAGTTTCAGGTTTTGGTTTGAAAGAATTTCTTTTGTGCTGTTAAAATTCAAGTAGATGGTAAATGTAATTGGCTAGAAATAGAACAACTACCCAAGCAAGTTAGGGCTGGCTATATGGATCCTCGTTGTCCATTTAAGCTCAATATTCTATATTTTGAGGATTGAACAAAAGTTGATTAGTTCTGCGGTGGCTATTGACCTATCTTAGAGTTCCTCCTATATCTGGGCTTAGGACCACCAATGTGAGCAAGCTCACACCGGGAATTAATTTTGCTGATAGTTTGCTCTATCATCTATGAGTGCAAGGTGAAAACTTTGTTATGGGTAATGATATTGATTTGTATCTCGTTTATGTTGAGGCATTAATTATACATTAGCGGGGTGATTTACAGAGGGTGACATGCATTGTTTTGATTGATTGTAGTTGGTGAATGATCCTGCTCAACAGAATTTTGTAATTTATGCAGCTCATACAAGTTCTAATAGGGAAGCATCTTATAAATTCTGCAGTTGAAAGCTATATCATATTGCAGCACTATATTCGTTGAATCCTTGGAAAGTTGTCAAAGTGTTATGCGATGGATTTGAAAGGTATAGCATGGGTTGGAGATATATACCAGAAATTTGAAGCGATGTGTTTGGAGATGGAAGATGCTATGTACCAGGTAAAATTTACCACATGTCTCTTACTAGTTGACTTGGTTAGTCCCTTTTTTCGGGTTTGATTAGCAAGGTCATAGTGGAGCTTCCCTCAGCAGTCAGCAGGGCTATTTCTTACCAACTGGTTGTTTGACCCTAGAGCACTAGGAACATTTGAATGAATTGAACTTTGATCATATCCAATCAACTCAAAAGAAAGGAGATTGAGCACTGACTATAAATTGCAGCTGTCGCTACATTGACTGCCATGGGGCTTATTTTTCTCCGAGATACCTAATAAATCACCAGTAACTTTTGGTACCCAATGATAGGTGCTCGCATCTCTTTGTTACTAGAGAAAGACAATTATTTTACTTGGAGGAAAGGCTAGAGAAAAATTATCCAAACTTGTCCCTCATTCATTGCCCTTGCTTACATATTTGATACTTCAACTAAATGGCAAAAAACCTATATTCTAATCTCGCAGAAAGGTGATAGCTTTGTACATCGAGTTCTGCGTAGCAACATTGAATTCCTATATTTATCAATAATAAGACTTGGTTAATGAGGATCCATATAGCTGAACCCAACTAGCTTGGAATTGAGTCATAGTAGTAATAGTTCTTGTAGTACTCTTGTTGCTGTCCTGACTTTTATTTGGAGACTACACTCTTCTTAACAAAATCATGCATTTATTTCATTTTTCCAGTGCATATCAGATTTATTTTTGCCACTATCCGAACTCCTGAGTAGGTAATTATGTTGCATTTGGAAGGATGGTGTGCATATCATGTTAATATATCAAAGGAGTACATATGACATTCATGGTTGTTTATTCATCAATTTCTTAATCGTTTCTAATCAATTGCTTCTTTGAAAATGTTCATAACTTCAATATGTAGTACCTTCTTATTCATCTTGCACCACTTTGGCCAATTAAGTATGCAACCACTGTAACTGGTCTCATGGTACAGGATACCGCTAGATATGTTGAGAATCAAGTGCAGACTGTTGGTGCAAGTGTCAAGAGGTTCTATTCAGATGTGGTGCTAGATCTGCATCCTCAATTTAACATAGATCCCGTGAAAGTTGCAGCTGCTGACTTGTCTCTTAATCCTTATGCGCACACTGAAATCAGCAAGAAGCTGAAAGCACAACTTAAAGGAGGCCACCCTAGGGTAATTAATAAGGAATTAATTGATGATACTCAAGTGATTAAGGGTAAGGATAGTGATCATCTATCATCTTTTACTCCAGTCATAGCTTCTAATAGAGTATTTTATTATGTGACAGGGAAAAGCAAAAGTGGAGGAGTTTATAGACGTCAAAGTGTTGGGATGAAAGAAATTGTTAGAGATAATCATCCACCATCTAAGAAGTCGGACGCTCTCTGTCTCGTATCAGGGAATACAATTAAATTGTCCTCAGATTCTAAGGTTAGGGGAGGTTTTGAAGTGGCATCCGACCACATGACCATGACTTCGCCCTTGGCCTCAGTTAAAGGACTTAAGTCTACCGAGACAGGAAAGGAGGTTTCCAACCATATTATAAAAACAGAGGTGCCTGCAGCAGGTATATCAATTAATATTGCAGCGTCTGACACGAGCTTATCAGTTGACTGTGTTGGGCAGAACCAAGCAGATCTCAGGAACACTTTCTCTGTTGGTGACTTGCAATCAGACTCTCATGGTATAAATGTCTAGCAGTATTCCACTTATTTTTATTCTCTTTAATTTTTCTCTCTTTTTTTCTTTTATGTTAACTCCTCTTGCAGTAGATAGGGGTACACGCAAGGAGTTGGCTGGTGATACTGGACTAAAGATTAGCAGTAATACTGGTGACAATAATATTGCCAGCAAGGAGGTCAATAATATTGCAAAGATTAGCAGTAATACCGATGACAATAATATTGCCGGTGAGGAGATCAAAGAGTCCTGCAAAGGTACTTGCAATAGCCACCTGTAAAAAAGATCTTCTCCTTCTCTTTTTTTTTTTTTGCTTCTGTTTTGATCGACTCACAACTCTGATATTATCTTGGAGAGTATCTTTCATATCAATTGCTGATTTATAAAATGGGGTTATTATTCTGCCTGTGTTGGACAATATTATGTAAAAGATATCGCAAACTATGGATTGAGTTAACAGTTCTATTGGATGAACTGTTAAATTGAACCGAACTAGTATAATTGACCGACTTAAATCTGTGATTAGGAATATTTTTCAACAACATACCCATGTAATCCTACAACTATGGTGGGGAGGAGTTGGGGGTAGACTGTAAGCGTAGTCATAGACCTTTGACCCTATCTTGTAGAGATAAACATTTCTAAACAGTTTGAAAATGAAATACAGAAACGAGAATAGTAACAACAAAGATGTAATATGAAATATAGAACAGTGAGTGCACAACATCTAGAAGAAAGTACAGTATTAAAGCAAAATATTGTGATAATCGAAGAGCAAAGGGCCCTTGTGTTTTCTCAACATCCAAACTAATAAAACGAAGGAATACTTGTGCAACTGAGCAACTTTCTCCTGCTGTTCAGATTTTCCGGCCAATCTTTTTTAAGACTCTTAATCTTTTCATTGTGTTTGTCGTCTTCTATTACAGCAAGATCAGATAAATCTTGTTCTCCTCCACCTGACAAGTATGACTTGATCGAGTCCGATGTGGAAATTGTTGAGCGCTATGATGAACCAAAGTTAGAGGAAACATGTGTCCTGGTTGAAGCGGAGAAACTTCATGTTCCACAAGGATCAGTCAAACGGAAATCATACAAGGTCCCATCTCCCTCTCCTTCCTCTCGCGTTGTATTTTCGTATGTTTTTCTTTTCATCAATATATTTATCATTAGTTTAGTCGTGGGGGGACGAGGGAGGGGTTGTTTCATCGAAGAATGTGTGCCTTTAGATGTTGACAGTTCAGTTGTTTTATCAGAAGAAGCTCAGGCAAGTGTTTTCTATGAAAAAGAAGTCGACGAGAACAGAGTATGAGCAGCTTGGAGCATTATATGGAGATCAACAGCCGAACCTACAGCCTGAAGAAAAGCAGATGCAGGTTCTCTCCAAAAACTCAAACCCGAAAAAATTGTCATCAGCTGATGATCATTCTGAATCTGAGTGGGAACTTCTCTAGATATGACGCATTACAACAACATAACCAATGTAATTCCACCCGTGGAGTCTGAGCTAAGATATGATGCTATTAAAATTGTAATGTTGCTTTTGCCAATCAATAGATGGCTTTGTACATAAAACTAAAATTGAAAGAAGAAGCACCTGCTGTTTTATAATAAGCCAGTTACCTTTTATTTATATGGAACTATGGTGAAATAGAAGGCCTGTTTCATCTCTTCTTTAAAATTTCTTTATACCATAATAACTATGTTAGTCTCAAACAAGCCAAGTCACTATGTGTATCTTGATTATTATGTTTATAAAAATACTCAAAAGTGTCAAAATTATCTGATATTTGCTTCTTTTGATGAGAGATTGACAGATATATGCATAGTTGCAAGGCATGAAGACACGTTAGCATTCAGTACAGCTGACTCATGCAGTGTGGCTTATGTTTTCCTTGCCACGTTTCATAAGATAATAAATAAAATATTGCTGCTTCATCCAGTTTGGTTTATAATTTCTTTCAAATCGAATCCTGGGAAGTGAAAAAGAAATAAAATTAGAGCATAGTTTAGTTAGTAACAAAACAAAAAAAAATAAAAATGGATTCAGATAAAGCAAAAAGAGAAGATGTTCATCCTGCTATTCATATAAAAAGTGTTACTACTGCTCCTGCTGAACATCAGCCTGCTGTTAAAGTTGGAGGACTGGAGTTCTCTAGTGGAATGCAGCAACAGCAAAAGGATACTGACACAGAAAGTGACAAACATTCTTCACATCAAGGTACTTACACTATACTAAAAAAACTTATATTATTTTTCAATAAATATCTTCATTGAGTGTTGAATTTGTCTAGGACTAGGAGGTTTCAAAATTGAATCACATAGGAAAGAAGGCGAAGAAGGAAGAGTTCATGGAGGGATTCATCCTCAAGAAACTGGTAATAAGAAGAAATCAGAGAGGAAAGCACCTGCACTAGCACCAGCTGCTGTACTAGCTGAAAATTCCGACGAAAAGGCGAAGGATTTTGGGGCGTCAGCGTTACATAATGCAAATGAGAAAGAATCGGCTAGTCACGGGCATGATGCTGCAACTTACAGTCAAACAGCACAAGATGTTAGAAGTGGATCTCAGTATGTTGCTGATAAGGCTGCAGCTGCTAAAGACACTGCCATTGAAAAAGGTCAGTTTTATTTTCAACGCGGGAACATACTAATTTGATTATAATGTATGACCAAACACTATTTATGAGGTGAAAAAAGCGAAAAATTTGTAGAAATCTACCTTTCAAGTGCAGGTGCACAAGCCAAAGATGCTGTAATTCATGGCCCTCAGATTGGATCCGAGTATGTTGCGGACAAGTCTAGAGTTGCAAAGGACACAATTCTCGAGAAAGGCCAGCAAGTTTGTGGTGAAACTGTAGATACCCTATCGAGGGCAGGACAAACTACGATGCAATCAGCACAGCAGGCTAAAGACGGCACCCTGCAAAAAGCAGGGGAGATGAAAGATTATGCTGCTGAAAAGAGCAAGAATGCAGCAGGATACATTAAGCAGAAAGGCGTTGACGCAAAAGATGCTACTGTGGAAACAGGAAAAAGCGCGGTAGGGTATGCAGGGGAAGCAGCTAAAACCGTTGCTGAAAAGAGCAGGGATGCAGCAGTGTATGCAAAAGACGCCACTGTGGAAACAGGAAAAAGCGCGGTAGGGTATGCAGGGGAAGCAGCTAAAACCGCGAAGGATATGGCTGAAGCGGGAGCTTTTGGTGCTGCACATTATACAGCAAAAGGAGCAGCCGCAGCTACAAAAGCCACGGCTGATGTTGTTTCTAGTGTTGCAGGGTATGCAGGAGAGAAGGCAGTGGCTGCAAGGGACGCGGTCGCTGGTGCTGGAAAGAGCGTGGCGGAGTATGCAGGGGACAAATTGGCTGCTGCTAAAGATTACGTAGTTTCAGCGGAAGAAGGTGCAGCTGATTATGCAGGTAAGAAGAAGTCAGAAACTGAGAGACAAATAGAAGGTAATTCCAAGGTAAACATTAGGTTACTATCTCATTTGTTTTGTACATTGAGGTGGATTCATGTTTATGACCATTATACTGAGTTCTATGTTAAATGTATGTATTACAGCGAGAAAGCGGAGGCGGAGTTTCTAGCAGAGAAAAGGAGGGCGGATAGAGCGAGGCGTTGCAGCAGCAGGAGGGAGGCAGTCTGGTTGGAATAGGGAAGACAACAACACAGTTTGTTGGAGGTGGGAATAAGCAATCTCAAACTGGTTATCAACAGGGAAGTGAGAAAGGGAGTAAATAAACAAGTGCCTCCCATTCTGAAGTTTGTTTACATATATTACATAATAATGTGACTGTGAAAAGCAGGTACATGTATGTTTGTATTTTTGTGCCCCTGCTAAACAAGAATTATCTTGAAAACTAAGAGAAATTTGTGTATGCATTTTGTTGTTTGCTAAATGCAAAATACTCTCCTAGAGAATGATCATATTTCATTTTTAGTGATCATATTTTAAAACGGTTCCTTTCTTCTTTTTTTTTGGGTAAACTTTCACTGTTTAAACTTTCACTTTTTTTAACTTTTCACACAAAAAACAATTTATCAAAAGTAATACATTTTTTAAAATTTTTTACAAAATTAGTATAAACGTATTTTACAATAACGTTTTAGGATATATTTTATTTTTTAAAAACTAACAGCATTGGGTTGATATACGTTACTGTAAGTAACATTTTACTTTTAAAATATTATTTTCAGTACGTTACTGTGAGTAACGTATATCAATCTGATGTCATCAACTTTTAAAAAATAAAATATATCTTAAAACGTTACTGTAGAATACGTTTATACTAGTTTTATAAAAATTTTAGAAAAAATATTATTTTGGTGAATGACTTTATGTAATGGCTTAGTTTGGTCAAAATTTTTAAGAATATAAGATTAAAAAGTATTTTTTTTAAATTTCGTTTTAAGTCAAACTAGGTTAATTTTAATTTATTTTTTTTTAAACAAAGGAGTATGTTATACTGAGAGTTCTCTTTTTAACATTGGAAAATCTTGCAAATCGGTATGTGAATTTTGATAGGAAAAGAGACATTTTAACACCTCTTACCTCAATAAAGCTTGACATTAATCCTATAGATTTTAAGTTCTTTTAAAAATAGGAAACTATAGTCTATAAATATAGTTTTGATATAGCGTTTTATAGTTATAACTATAGTCTTGTTGCGTTTTGATATAGCGTTCTATAGTTAATGACTATAGTTTTGTTGAGTTTTATACTTATCATAAAGTTCTATGACTATATTTTGATATTTTTTCAAAATTCTGTCTTTGTATTTTGCTAGTATAAATTTATGATGATTTTTCTTTTTTTTCGTAAATTCAATATAAATAGGGTTAATATATATGAAATTTTGAATTTATACATTAGTCATCATTTCATTAGTTCATTGTTACTGATTCGTTTAAGGTAGACTTTCTATTTTATTTTTTGCCTTATTAGTGCAAGTGTCTATTGTAACATTCATTAATTCGTTGCTACTGATTCATTTAAGATTGATTTTTTTTACTTTTTTTTTAGTTTAGTTGGATTTGAATTAATGAAAAAATAGATTAAGTAATTGTTTAAACACATGCTGTTTTTGAAAATAAAACATTAATTTATTTATTTAAATTAAGTTTGTTAACAAAAAGGACAAATACACCTCATTTGTTAGTACATGCACCAAAATAAATAATGCCTTAAATTGTATAAATTAATATAACCATAAACGTTTCACTTTATTATATACCACAATCAACTATATATATATATATATAAATTACACAATATAACATATTTCACATAAGGAAGAGAAAAAAATACTACCAAAAATATATATATAATTAATGGCTTCTTTATCTAGCACCAATTTCATTGTTCTTTCTCTGACAATTATTTTATTTTTCAATAATTCTCAATATTCTATGGCTTTTACAACAGAAGATTATATAACTGGAGCAATGGTACTTTCTTCAACAAAAATAATCCATAAAAGTGCGGGAGATAATAATTGTATGGACGAATTATCAAATGTATACGACAAGCTTGAAATTACACTAAATTGTGAAAAAGAAAAAAAATATCATGAAGTTTCAGACTTAGCAAATGAAATTCAATATATTCTTTATGCTGATAAAAATAAAAAATGTGAATATGAAGATTTAAGAAATATTATGGAGGCAGTTAAAAGTTATACTATGGCAACATTAGATATGGAGGGATGATTGAAATTGTATCATTTTCTCGATAAAAAATATTGTATTATCGATATATAATGTAAAAACCTTACTTATATTTTGACTTAATTTTATCTTTCAATCTTTATATTTATGCTAACTTCATGCGCATAGGCGGACCCACATGATTTGGTGCCGGTGCAGGTCAGAAAAAATTATAATTAAGTAAGATATAATTAAGCATGGAGTGCCTTCGTAAGCCTGAAAAAACACCTGCTATATCGAGGTTCGAATTCTACTAGTACTCATACTGTTTCAATTTATATAATGGTATTTGATTAATCAGTACAAACTTTAAGATTTTCATTTTGAAACTTATAATCTTAAATAATATTATTTTATTATAAAAGCACGGTGAAATAAAAAGGCTTGAAGTTACATCATCTCTAAATATCAAAAAAATATAAACATCATCCATTTTGAAAGAGAGTAAGAAAAAATAATATAACATAAGATAAAGATGAGAAAGTAGATATTTTTCATACTACTCGTGAGGTGTATTTCAAATGACATTTTTTCATTACAACTACTAATCCAAGATATAACAATAAGATTAAGAGTACTAATTAATTAATTAACTAGAAGTTCTTGGAATTAATGATGTTTAGGGTCCGGTCCTCCGGGACTAATCCTCATGAGCTTGTACTTTCTTTCTTGGCTCTTGTCAACTTTTATACGCTCGAAAAGAACTCGAAATGGTTTACTTAGCCCTTTTTTCTTACGTTGTTCAGACTCTTTAAAAGTGTTGTTGTATTCGTAATGAATCTTCTGAAAATGCATTATTTCTAGAGGATAAAACACACCCCTTGTGACATTTTTGAAGAGTTCGTACAATATAACTTTTTTTGGCCTTAAAATCCGAGCTTCTGTACGTTGCACCATAATTATGAGCACCATAATTACACAAATGTACAATTTTCCTTGAGACATTTTCATAGACTATAAGTTGTATATATGCTTTGATTTACACTAAAGAGAGTGTAGCTATTTATGGACATAAGGCTATAGATAGTTTTTCATACAAAATTGGAAGTGCACAAGTAGCATATGTCATTATTTCGTAGTAAATAAATTAATTTGCTTACGTAGTACATTAATTTAGATGTATATCTTAAGATAATGACTTACAGCAAATATTGTTACCCCATATGAGCTTTATGAGCGGATATGTAACTTTTAATATCATGTGATTTGAATTCATAACTTTCGATCGTAGAGTATATTTATAGTACTGATATATATATATATATATATATATATATAGGGTTTATGCAAAAGCTCTTACGTACTTAAAATTTTATTAAAATTTTAATAAATATTAAATTAATAAGTTTAGTATTAAAAATTTAACTTCTAAATCCGTCTCTGATGAGCTATTCGTATTTTTGTGATCTTGGGAGGAAATTAAAATCTATACATTCAACCTAGTACACTTTTGAACATGTAAAGATTCTTAGATTTTTTAAGATTCAAATGTGTACTATAATATTAATTAGTGAGTGTCTAGTCAAGCTTTTGGCCTTCTTAATTAACAACTTGTTACACAATCCCTTGCGAGGCATCGAAGGGTCACCATCTTCATTTGACCTTCCAAGCACAATAATTATTACTATGTTTTCGTTGTTGCCATTGTTCTCTTCTCCTTATTTTTGGTATGCTTAGCTTAATTCGCTATTTTTTTTTTCAATACTTAATGTTAATATATTTTATTTGAGTCAATGATATATCAAAATAATATCTATCTCTTCATTACTTCATTAATGTACTTTTTTCAATACTTGATGTCGATGTATTTTAACTGAGTCAATAATCTATCGAAAACTAGCATCTATCTTCTCATAAGGTAGGATAAAGTTATGTACATACCACTCTTTCACGTTCCATTTGTGGGATTGTATTGGTACGTCACATCACGTGCTTAAAAATTTAATTCATGAAATTATATTGAAGTTATAGCCACTTACGTCATTAGTGACAGAGCCAAAATCAAGTTATAGCCACATTACGTCATTAGTAACTGATCGCCAAAATCAAATTATAGCCACATTACTGAGCCAAAATTTTCGTCATGTCAATGCTTTAGGACAAGTAAAAAACTAAACATGTGGGCCACTTAGAATTTATTCATTTTTATGATTTAGGAATTGATTTGTGAGCCCACAAGAAATTTTGTGGGCTTCCAAAAATTGGCGGGCGAGTCCACCAAAGTAGGGCAAACTCGCTCGCCTTAGTAAAGTGTGTTCGTTTCGTGGGTGTTGGCACGATTCACCGGTCTCTATACGATCATTAGTGAATCGCCTATGCACCCCCAACAATACGAGTTAATTATTTGAAATATTAAGTTTCAATTTTAATAAAAGAAAATCCATACTGCAAAATTGGTTCATCACGATGTGGGACAAATTTTGGTTGAAATGAAACATCCAAATCCCACAAAAAGTCAAACTCTATTATCTTCCTTTCTATTTCCTTCGTTCGATTTAGATTTAGATAATATAACTTAATTTAACACAAAATTTAAAAAATATAGAAAGCCTTTATAATGTCTCCTCGATCAACTTGACAAGATTGTGTATGAGACACAAGGAAAGCAACTTTTACGTTTGTGTTATTTTATGTCTTTATATCAAAACAAACTTAATTCAAAAAACTTTGTTATAAATCTTAATCATCCAACCAATGTAACCTTAAACATAAAGCAAGCAAGTATTTACTTGCTTTAGGCTCAAACATTTTTGTTTTTAAGATCCCAAAATTGCTAAAAGTTATTTTTACTCACAAAATTTATTTATTTATTCTAATGAATTTCATGTCCAAGTAGTTTCAAACATTTACATATTCTTGTATAACTTCAAACTGCTGTGTTTTTACTTCAACCAAATAATCATACGAATACACCACGACGATACGTATCGAACGTAATTAACGTATGGATTTTGAAGCAAAATTATTATTACTGCTTAATGATGATAATTGTTTCGAATTAGAGAAAATTTCGATGTACCTAATGAAGAGAATGCATTATGTTGCTGATAATCATGAGACAGAAACATGTGCAATATGCATAGTATGTAACAAAAGCAAATTATTTCATAATTTTATTTTTTTTTAAAAAATAAAAATTAATAAGACGTTGATTAGTTCCTATATAAAAAAATAGACCAATTTAAGGGTGTGTTCAATGGAAGCTAATTAATATGAAACGGAGAAAGTATAAAGAAAG